CGGGGGGGAGGGGGGAGGGGAGGTAGTGCTAGATTAGTTTTGACAACCGCTCTTCGTGTTCCTATGAATCTCAACTAATCTCATAAAGAGAAGTCAAAAAGATTTGTTGCCAGATGGGCGCCCCTTTGGCAAAGCATCTACTAATCGGCCAGTTTGGAAAGTTTCATTTCATTTCACTTATTCAGAAAGAGCGATTCCAAGTTTTCATCTAGTCGATGAGACAGAAGGCGATTACATGGGCGATCTCCGATACTTTGATGCATGTGCGTAGCAAACATACTATGCTCATTGTATGGTTACTGCATTTCATCAACAATCAAAAAATCGAAAAAATCGGTCCCTGCCACCCTGGCAATGCTAAATATATTACTTGACGGTGCTAATTTCTCAAAAAAAGGTCATTTCCTCTATTGTATCAAACAAGTCATTAATAAAAGGCATATGGACTCACTGTTGCTGTCCGCTAATGTTTTCACGAACGATTCCGTTGCATCACCGAGAAGACCACGCATACGATAGATGATGGTCATCGGCTGGTCAGGATGATTCGGACGCCATAAATTTTCATATACACCGCTCACTGGTAGATCCAGTGCAATAATTTGCTGATTAACGAGAAGCTGAAATTTGCAAAGCCATGTTAGATCATGCTCGCTCGCCTATATTACACTTATACGTGCGAGAAGACATGTCAGGATTACAGTTGTCAAAAAAATGATTGTTCCCTGAGTAAGAAGAAAAACTACTGAAGTTTTATTAAATCATGAACACTGCACGACGGAATTTGTTGCAAAGGCTACAAAAATCTGAAAAGTAAAGAATCACTCACTTCCATTCCTGTATCATCATCGAGCAATGCGATCAGTTCACAATCACGGCAAATTTTATTTTTAATATCCCTCATCAATGGGCCCATGCCGGGATCGCTACTCTTGTACGGATTGCCCAACATTCGTCCTTGCAAATAATCTTCTTGTAGCGGGTCCTTTTCGATTTTTATCAAAAAATCTTCTTCCTTCTTAATTATTGGGCAGACTATGTCGCTAATAATTGATAAAAGATGCGCTTGTACGCGTGGTACTGCTGCATAAGCTTTAATGCATCGAGTTGCCTCTCTGAGTGCCAATACTGGTTGTTTCATTGCAATTCGCATGATTAATACGTTTAGTTCTTTTGCCGATACGTCCACATGACTGCAAAAAAAAAATACAAATTTTGCTGTATTTAGTTATCAGCTGATGTAAATGCTGGGAGCGATTACTGATCTTCCTCACCTCCTACCAAATGTGAGGCCATTATTTAAACAAAAGTGTCATTACCAATAATTTTTTTTGCCTTCTCTCAAACGACATTTTGTTTTGAAAAGGACGTTCTTCCCGGAAAAAATCAAGGATTGTTCAGCGATGCAAATGCATGCAATAAAACAATTAGCAGAAAACAGTGTAAGTGCAAACTTACAAAGTGCGAAGAACGACAACTCCTTTTAGAGCGCATGATGCTCGAAGAAGCAGCGGAAATAGTAATGCGGACGATTCACTCAGCTGCTTCCAGCCCAACTTATTCTTCTGCATAATGCATTTTAGTACCACTAAAACAACAGAATTATTGGGAAATTTGATAATTTCACGTCTTTTTTTTTCAACTGCCAGTAGAAATGAATATGCGCCAAGCGCAACAGTTTCAGCCCGGCAGAAAATGTAAATATCCACAAAGCTTGCTATCGTATCACTTATGTGGCATTTACAACGAGGAAAACGAGCGGATCTCAGTAATCTTTGATGACATCTGTCTGATGGCGGCTTAATACAAGATACGGTGCAAGGAGGCTGTGAGGGGCTTCATACACAGTTGTACCCGGCACATTTCTGTAACATCAAAGTTCCTTCACAGCAATAAACTGCGCGATTCTGCTAGTACTTAGAAAACACAAAAACTTACAGATAAGATGATAGAGCCGTGTTCCAACAGAAAGATTACATAGCGCATCATTCACTTCATGTGCACGTATTTTTAAGCTTGACTGAAACAATTCTGGTTAAAAATGCTTTAAATTTGTTGAACTGAAAATAAAGCATCATACGTATTTAACGGAAAAATTTGTCGGATGAGGTGCGAACTGACAGAATTACTTATTTTGCATTGTTGCCTTTTTTCTAATCAGGACTGCCAATAAGTCATCTGCGGTATGAGGGGAATCAAAAAATCAGAGAACAGCAAAAAAAATTCGTAAACATAATCAGCACTCCTGAATTTTTAGTGAAAAAAAAAACATTTTTTATACAGAATTGGTGATATGGAACAAAATGTGACGGGGAAAAATGTATGACCGGATTGAGTGATTGAGAAATGAGCAAAATTTTCATTTCCTACCTTCAATCCGATAAAAAAGAAGCATTTGTGAGCACAAGTAAAAAAGGGGTCATTTTTATATTTTCAACAAATTTTTTTCAATTTTATGTGCATTCGTTCGCAAAATTTAGTATTTTAAGTTATGCTCGTTATCTACTTTTATCTACTTTTTTACTATTTATCTACTTATCTACTTTTTTGAAGTACAGCACCAGTTTTTTTTTTTTAAAAACTTTCATTTTTTGACAAAATTTCGGCCTCACTTTTCGAATTTATACCTCATTCTTTCAATTTATCAATAAGTATAAAAAGGGGATTAAAGGCACTAGGCTGCTTCAAGTACAATGGATCAGGG